TAAGTCCCAAGGCGAGTTAGAATAAGAATGGAGTTTTTTCTGATGCCTCAGCCTTTATAATGTTAATTTTAGCAGCTTGGTTAAAAAGTGGCTCTATATATTCCCTATCTTCAGTCTTTCATACATATGTACATATATATGAGAAAGATCTATCTAAATATCTACATAGTTACACATATTTGTATATTTATATGTATGCATATCTATTCATCCACCTGCCCATCCATCCACCCACCCATCCATCCATCCACCCAAGCAGCCATCCATCCACTCATCCATCCACCCACCCACCCATCCACTCGTCCATCCACCTACCCACCCATCCATCCATCCATCCATCCATCCACTCATACTCATTCATCCATCCATCCGCCCACCCACCCATCCGTCCGTGAGGACAGGAGTCGTCGGAGGCCCTGGTCTCCAGCTGCATGAGCCCATTGCCTTTTCCTTGGGGCACAGATGGTCTCACATGGTGTCTGTCATCCGGGAGAGGAACAGTTGCTTGGTCATTTACTCAGTGAATGTTTTCTGTGGGGGGCTCGTCTGGGAGGCCCCCACCTCGCTGCAGAGACGAGACGCTGAGCAAACAGCCGCAGACAGGGCAGGGTCAGGTGTGAACAGGGCCGTCCACCTCGAGTCGATGGAACAGGCACGAGCTTCGAGGGGAGTTGCAAGGAAGGAGGAAAACTCCCCCAGAGACGCAGCTGTGGAAAACCAGGAGGCGGACCCTAAGCGGAGTCCTGGGAACACGGCCCCGCTGCCTGGGGAAGTGGGGTGATGCGGCCCCGAGGCCATTTGTGGGGTGCGGGAGAGTGGAGCTAGGTGGGGCTTTCGTTTCGTTTTCACACACTCGTGCTTGCACTTTTTATAGCCAGTATCCTTTGCTTTTCTGACCAGAAAGGAAGAAAAGGGGCAAGAGGAAACGTCCCTCGCAGCCAGGGACGCCCGCACTGTGTGGACGCGCCCACAGCCCCGGGGGGATCCGGTCTCGCAGGGGAAACCGTGGGGAGGAGCCGAGGGGCCCCAGCCCCGGGGAGAGCTGAGCAGCAGGAAACACCTCTGGGGGGCAGCAGAGGCCACAGAATGCTGTCGGCAGGCGGGGAGCGGGGTCGGGGCCCAGCCCAGCGTGGGCGGAGGAACTGAGGTCCCGCCTGCCTCACTACCCCCTCTTCTCCCCCTGCCCCCGAAGGAAGGGGGCTGCCCCCTCCTCCCACGGTCCCTCCTGGCCAGAGCGGGCTTGCGGGCTCCCCGGTCCCAGCAATGCCTCACGCTGTCTCCCTCCCCCCTCCAAACAGCCCCCTAATGACAAAGCTCTTTGTCCTGTGGGGGTGTGACATCTGTAACTTATGTCACAGACACCTGCTGAGCCCAGACCTGTGCTCCTAGCAAGGCCCGGTGCACCCTGGGGAGGCAGGGAGGCACCCGCCGGCAGCAGGACTGCGGGTCAGACCACGGCACCAGCGGTCACCAGCAGGACTGTGGAGGCCGTAACGAAGCACAGAGGGGGTGCGTGCTGCCCGCAGGGTCCCCACAGTCCATGTGGCCGGGCCTCAGGCCCTCCTCGCAGCCACAGAAAAACGGGGAGCAAGACAGGCACCCAGGCACTCCCTCACGGTCCAGGCTCCCAGGGCGGGGCGCCCTCCCAGGGCTCTCCAGAGGGCATGTTGGGGTGTCTCACTGCTCCTGGCCTGGCTGAGCCCCAAAGTGTTGCTTAGAGAGGACGGGGCCCCAGCCTACCCCGGGGCGAAGCCTTCAGAAACTTGCAGGGCCCCGATGTTTTCTGAAGAGATAGCAGGTGCTCGGCTTTTTAAAAAACGACTTTAAAAATTGAGGCATGAGTTATGTACAGTAAGATGCACTTGCTGTGCAGTTCTGCGAGTTTTGACAAACACATAGGGTCATATAATCACCGCAACCAAGGAATAGGACAATGCCACCCACCACCGAGTCCCTCGCGCCTCTTCGGTCGGCCCTCCCCCACCCAGCCCGTGGGACCCCGATCCGTCTCTGTCCCCACAGTCGTGCCTTTCCCAGGATGTAGTTTGAATGGAACCACATGGTCCGTGCTGGAGGGCTGTGCGTGTGCCTGCGTTTGTGCGTGGGCACATGTGTGCTTGTGCGTGCATGTTCGTGAGTGCATGTGGGTGCATGCATTTATATGTGGACGTGCGTGTGCTTGTGCGTGCATGTTTGTGAGTGTGTGCATGCATTTATATGTGGGCGTGCGTGTGCATGCATGTTTGTGAGGGCGTGCATGTGTGTGCATTTGTGTGTGGGCGCATGCGTGCACGTGTGTGCATGTTTGTGAGCGAGTCCGTGTGCATGCATTTGTGTGTAGTGTGTGTGCACACATGTAGGTAGTGGGGTCACAGAAGACTCCACGCCCCATGGGTTTGGGGCTGTCTTGCCTCTCCCGTTCCTGCCCCTCAGCGCACACCTGGTCACCACACCACCGCCTGTCCAGACCCCTGCCTCCCTCAGCATCACCCAGGAGTCCCCTTCCCTGTGGTCACCGGGCCATGTCCCTACAGCGGTGGCCTCATGCCCCACGCCTGCCTGTCTTCTTTCTGGGCCGTCTTTCTCGGTTTTCATGGGCCACAGTATTAAATTTTTTTTTTAATTGAGATAAATATAATGTAAAGTTCACTGTTTTAACTATTATTGTGAGGACAGTTCAGGGGCAGTAAGCACACTCACACTGTGTGTGGCTGTCACCAGTCCCATCTTCCCAAACTGAACCTGGTCCCCAGGAAACACTAACCCTCCCCCCAGCCCTGGCACCCCACTTCCTGTCTGTGACTCTGACCTGAGTCCTCATGTGGTGGCGTCACACAGCATGTGTCTGGTGACTGGTTATCACACTCCGTGCATGGTCCCCCACCCACGTTGCCGTCCCAGGCTGAGTAATGTCCCCGTGGGGGGGGACCCATCGTGCTTATCAGCTGTCGCCACAGACGCGGGGTTTGCTGCCACCCCTTGGCGATTGTAAGCCTGCCACCGTG